GAGCCCTGTAGATATTTCGCAGTCAAGCAAGTACCTTTAAGTGAAATCGTTCTCAAAGACGCTTGACATATATCTGCTCAGTTTCATGCCCAAACGTTAGTAAAGTAATTTCTGAAGAAATAATGGTTTTTTATTTATTAATCCGACAGATTTTTGTCAGTTACACGTTAATCCGATATTTGTATTACGCAAACGTTATTATAGTGGCTATTTCAAATAAGATGTTTGAAGTCAGACATTTGGCCAGATGCGTATGAATTATGAATTCTAGGTAGTGAGATGTTTTCAAATAGGTACGCTTGTGTTTACCTTTAGTGACCCCTTGGGAATTGTATAAATACTTTTCTCTTGGCTTCAGTCCCAAGCCCATATAACACAAAAAAATGACCTCTTCACTGTAGGTCCCATGATGGCTGAACGAGAACATACTGAGAAATTGTACGATAGCTTCAAAACAAATATTTCCCGTGTATTTAATATGCACAGGCCTTATCAGGTGAAGTGTCAAGATTGACAGGTAACCATAAAGTTAAATAGAAAAAACAGAAACATGCATGAACGTGAAGAGAGAGAGAGAAAGAGAGAGAGTATATATTTTAGGATGATATATATATATATTTATATATATATATATATGGGATATATATATATATATATATATATATATATATATATATATATATATATATATATATATGTCCGTGTGTATGTATATCTATCTATATATATATATATATATATATATTTTAAATGCAATTTTAACATTTAATTTAATAGTCCTTTTATTTTAACATGAATATTCTTATTAGTGTGTGGTATTTAATTTAATAAGAATATTAACTTTAATATTTAATATTCTTTTCTTTTTTATGTGCCATGTCGTTTCAGGACGTAGACGAATGGCTCTTCTACTCTCTCTATCTTTTGCAGGTCTCAACAAATTCCTTTACTCTGCGACTTCCCCTTGACCACGTTCTGTCAACCACTTGCTCAACAATTAATATTAATAATTTTACTTAATATTATTATTTAATATTAGTTATATTTAATAACATAATAATATTAATGATTAATATTAATTATATTTAATAATATATTTATAGTTATTTATGATTTATATTTATAAAGAGTTTAATTTAATATTAATTATTTATTTTGATTTATTATCTATAATTAATTTTAAGATAAATCAATGTTTGAATTTCTTTTAAAATCATTCAAAAAATATAATTGCGTGTTCATTTTCATTGACTTTTGTTGTATCAGTCATTAGTTACGTTTGAAAAAGGGGGATTACTTTTAGGCAGGGGTAGGGATGTATTTTTCAACGAATTCTGACATCCGTTAAATACATGTCGTCTGGATTTTTAAAAATTTATTTACGACAAAAATTCTTACGTCATTTTTCTATTTGTATACTATTATATATATATATATATATATATATATATATATATATATATATATATATATGTGTGTGTGTGTGTGTGTGTGTGTGTGTGTGTGTATATATCGCTCTCTCTCTCCTCCTCTCCCCCTCTCTCTCTCTCTCTGTCGTTTTCCCTTCCTCCTTCTTATCTCAGTATAACTGTCTGGATAGATTGATTCCATTTCTTAAAAACTTTCAATCTGTACAGATGAAATATAACAATATTCATAAAATAAATTATAACCAATATGGATTTTTAAGTTGGTCTCTTGATTCCACATTAAGCACTTCCTATGATGGTTGACATCGAATGTTGAACAATCTCCTCAAAGATGAGGAAGAGACTCGAGGCAACAGAAATGTCGGCCTACAGAAGGATGCTGAGGATCCCATGGACCAATCCTGTGACCTACAACAAGGTTGTAGTGAAAATAGAAGCAAAAAGGAAAATGATACTTAACATCAGGAAGACAAATTTCTAGGAGACATGATGTGGAAGAAGGGCTTAGAAAATCTGCTACTCAAAGGAGAGATCGAGGGCAAGAGGGACTGAGGTAAACAGTGCATAAAATACTTGATGAGCTTAAGAAAATGGATGACAGAACAGGGTTTAGAAGAGATAAAAAAAAGATAAAATTTATTAAGAGCGACAAAGGAAAGGAAATTGTGGAGAGTCATGATTTCCCAGATCCTGAAAGAACACGATACACAGAAGCGCAAATACCTTTGAGAAAGTATTTATCCACTTCTTCTCTCCCATCTATGGGTTAAATAGTCAAATTTGTATCACTCACCTATGGAATATTGATGTCTAATATGGTCTGATGCTTTTGCTGTAAGTCTCGATATCCTCGACAAAATCCAAAGACGTCTCTGTCTCTTCTAAAATTATCTTCACGGCAACTGTTCCAGACTGCATGAATTTAAGCGAGCTACTAGGTTGGTATCTCGTACCTACCCTTTCACTGTCGAAACTGTTAAATGTAACCGTCTCTTCTACTCAAACAGTTTCTTCTCTCGCACTTCCCGTCTGTGGAATTCTCTTCCTCTTACTTGCTTCACTGATAATTATAATCTTCAAATATTCAAGTGTAATGTCAATCGACATCATCTGATACCTGGATCTTGTTCCCCATTCTTTTCTTTATCCTCTCCCCCAACACGCTTCTTCTCTTGTTCTCTACTCTCTGTAACACATTGCATGCTAGTGGCACTCTTGTCTTGCTTGGTGTGAAATACTTTAAAAAATATATATCTTATAAGAATATTCTTACAATCTAATAATATGTTTGGCTTAAAATAGCATGCAAAGGGTTGATAAGCTGTAAAAACGAGTCAATCAATCAAATAAATCTATGACACACCCTCCAACACAACTCTCGCTGGATGCAATGAATGGGTTACCGAAATCTCCTATCAGGGGAATTCTTCGACCTGCGTAAAGATGTATGACGTTTCAATTGATGATTAAAACTATGTGATTAATACAATATTAATTATCCCAAAAATTATTCAGACAATTGAAGCTTTACTGATCTATATGTGACAAGCTTTCAGCGGCACAAGTACAGAAAAAAAAAGAAAATTGAACATAGAATAGTCTGCGCCAGAAATAGTCTCGCCCAACACCGCAAATTGCTACAAAACCAAACAATCAACTCGAGTCATGTTCTTATTTAATTATGCCTCATCAGATCGAGACTTTCATGTGGATATCATGCATGGTGCCAGACCCGTTCAGAAATATTTAAACTGACAGCTATATACCACCGCTTTCTCAGATCAATGGATAAAAACATCTTTGAGCGAGTGAAACCTGAGGGTCTTGATAAAGATCCTCCTACTTCGAACATTATTGACTGGCTATACAGAATCACAGACAAAGAACAGCACGAAATAGCGGAAACCACATCAATTGAAGACTGCCAATAGCAGCAACAACTAAAATGGATGGCACATTTAACTCGAACAGAAAACTATGGCATAATCACTATGTTGACGTCCCATACAACTTCATATAACATTTCTAAGAGCAGTGGTTAAAATGGCTTTAAACGAGAGAAATATGTTGAAACTTGTGAAGAAAACACTTTTTAGAACCTTGTGGACAGGCGCTACATAATCGCAAAAAAAGACTGTACTAGATACAAAAAAAAACACATCTCATGAGGACTTTCAATTATAGGAACCACTTAAATGGATTATACATCTGACTTGACGTGAAAATAATAACATAATCAAGATGTTAACATTCAATATTGATTCAAATAAAAAGTTAGGAAGGAAACCGTCGTCAATACGCGAAAATGTGTTGACAAGGCTGGAGTGCCACTAGTACGCAAGGGATTACAGAGACTGAAAGTGGGAGAAAAGTCTGGGTAGACGAGGGAATTGAAGAATGATAAAAGATAAACGGAGTTCAAGGCCAACAAACACTGAAAGGAAGTGTAGGCAAAGAAACTGTTGGGGTAGAAGTTGCGCTTGCATTTAGCTATTTCAACAGTTAAAAGGTCGGGAACTAAATGCTAATCCAGTAACACACTTAAATTCATGTAGCCGGGGTACCAAGGAAAATGATCCTCAGAGCAGTTGCCATGAAAATATTTGTAGAAAAGTCAAAGAGAAGTCACATCACGTCTGTGAGAAAGTGACTGATGTCGACATACCAAGTCATTACATTGCAGCTACTTCTATGGTTTTGTCAAGAGCCTCGAGATGAACAGTAGGTGCACCAGACCAGATATGGCAACAGTATTCAATGCACGAACGAATGGTAAATTTTTAAATGTGTAAGATGGAATCTGATAAGTAAAACCTTCTGGCATGGCACAGTGATCCAACATACCTTGCAGTAGTTACAACCATTGATTCCTTTTTGAGAAAGCTATTTTTCTGAAAACTATTTTAAGAGAAAGATTTTTTAAAAAGAATCAGCCGAAAGCAGTATTGACTATTTTGAAAATAAATTCCAAACGTTTCCTTGAAAGGAAACGGATAATTAACATTATTGTTACCATTCTATAGTGTACTACACGTGTTGTATCTGTATGTAATGTTAGGAGTTAAAACAAGATGGTGATCATAAATGCTAATATATCGTTTCCTGGACACGACAATGAATAACTGGGAAAGAAATTTGAACGTGAGGAAAGAATGCTTCCTTAAAATTCATCTGTAAATATTTTACTTTATAAACTTTTTTTAATAATTTACAACATGGCCAGGTGTTATGCATTATTCATTTAAATATAGATTTATCTAGAATCTGAACATTGCATGGCAAAGATTCAGTGTCATATCTAGGTCATAGCAAGTGGGGTATGTGTCATAATCTCCACTTCTGTAGGCGACATGTAATTTGTTTGTAATATTCATTAATTTAGCCTTAAGCACTAAATCATCTGGTACCATTAAACTCGAACAGATTACCGGTGTTGAATACTGCCAGCGACAATTTGTTGTTCACCTCGATGGTGTGATTGACAAATTTTGAATTAGTGCAAACAAGGAAGGCGAATTTTTACAACTAACCGTCGCCTTCCTTAGATCTTAGCTTCCAATTACCTTATAGCTTGCGGTCATATTGCGTTGAAATACCGGTTCTCGTAAGAGCAGCGCAGTTAAGCAACGTCGAGCCTGGCCCGTATTTAGATGAGCGACCGTTTCGGAATATCAGGTGATGTAAGCTTGGATGTGCGGGTGGTGTCATGGATATCGGCTCAAAATTGGAAGACGTAGACTTCCAGTTCCAGTGGGGTTCTTTATATTCCATTATGCGTAAATACTCTTGGGAAATGTACGAATTAGTAGGACATGTATCAGTAAATCGTTATTATCTCAAAAACATACATACAATCTAAAAATATTTTTTGACTTTTAATAGCCTGAAAAAGGATCAACCGTAAAAAATCCAAATATCTCAATGAATTCCCTTATCTTCCGACAGTGTTAGGGCAATAACTTATTAAAATATATCTTCTTATGCAGCCAATATATATATATTTTATTATAAATTATCATTGAAAGATTGAAAATATTAAAATACTGGAATGTTTTACCAACACGCTGACTCGTGTTCAATTCTTCACAGTATTTAGCATTGTTGAAGTTATCGCCAACATTTTTGTCAAGATTTTCAAACTTTACGTTGCGTTCAATTTCGCACACTAATCGATGAAATTTCAATAAGCTAATTTGATTGGAAAAATACTTTGACAAAATCCTTATTCACGATTTAATTATTTCTTTAATTTTATCGTGCTTCATGGTAAACAATATTTAAAAAAAAAATATTTTCATTTTTAACAACGCAGAATAAAGTCTTAGGATTTCTTACTCTTGAGCATGCAACAAACAAATGACCATGTGTAAATATTTAATTATGGAAGCAAAGTTCAACTGTTAGAAGCATTTGGCCTTGGGATTTGATTATATTTCTCGCAAACACAGGGCGAACTGGAAATTTGATTCGTGTATATATAAAAAAATTAAAGCAAAAATATGAAAAAAAACTATATTTCATTTTTATTAAATAATAATTTGTTATTTTAATTATAAATTGTTTTTTTAAAGAGTGAGAGTATTTTGTATATTAAATAATAAAACTTTGATTTTTCAAATAAAATGAATGAAAATTTATTTTACTAAGCTACGCACCCTTACTCATTATCTGTACTTTGTATTCCCTTACTTGTTCGCAATTCAACCCAAAATTTGGTTTCGATCGGTTTTTCGAAGATATGATGGACGGGCGGACTAACTTACGTCAATGAATTTTATATATACATTCGTGTTGTCGAGAGTATTTTATTGATTTCTGAAAAACGAAAAGATTATTTTATCGTGGCATAATTTCTAAAATATAGGGTAACATTATATCTTATTTTATTGTTATTTTCTCAATAAAAATGTAAAGGTCAATTAAAGCGTGATTGCGTTTAGCGTGGGTCATGCACTTTAAAAGATTTCATTTTGGTGGTATTTATGTGTCCATCATTTTGCAAAAGAATATGCTTAAACGTTATAATTATATTGCCAAAATTTAAATTACCTTCAAATAAAAATAAAGTAAATAATAATCTTCCTGTTGAAGTACCATCACTTATCATCCATATTAATTTTCCTCACCGATAAAGAGAAAACTGGAGGCAACAGAAATATGGTTCTACAGAATGATTCCATGGATGGATCGAGTAAGCAACGTGGAAGTCTTAAAGAAAAATGAAAAAAAAAAAAAAGATTACTAATACTGAGAAACAGAAAAGGGGCAACTGAAACTTCTAAAACACATAATGAGAAAAGAAGGTTTGGCAAATTAGCGCTCACAAGAAGTATTGAGCGCAAGAGAGATAGAGGATTATAGATGGTCATTCACCTGACGAATTTGTGTGAATGGATTGCGGAACGTGGGTGTTAGTTATATTAAAGGGAGACAAAAGCTGTTAAATGAAACAAGGGATAGGAACTTTTGCATAGGCATATTCGCCCATGACCTTGTGTATAGATGTATGCGTATCGTTTGAATGAATGCGTTTATTAACGATATCTCCCTCTGAGGCACAGTTTAGTAATGGTTAGCGGCTCGGATTGAGAGTCGAGTTTGAATTCCAGTCAGATCCTTTACTCACATTTACGTGCTAATACCCTTGAGTAAGGTATGGATACTTTTCTTCTCCCACCAGTAATGGGTAAATAGCAGGACAGACTGTGTTCTATAACCTTGGGTGGAAAGCGATCTTGGAGAAAGAAAGCTCTTAATTTAAATGCGTTTGCATATGGTGGGGGTCCGTCAAGTTATCTTGCACAAGAAACATCACTACGCTGCATGTGGTTACGTGATTAATCTTTTGTTAAAAAGGTTAATCGCGTGAACACATGTCGTTTTCCTGAGCAAAACATACGATCTGAATATGTAGCTGGTAGAAATAAAAAGGTGAGACAGGCCGCCCCCTTAAGGTAAGTCTTCAAGAACACGAAAAAGCTATAACACGAGGGGAAGTGGAAAATCAAGAGTGGCTGACCACATATGGAGAGGAAAGGGAAATCACCGCCCTCTGTGGGATCAGGTTGAAATCATAGACAGAATATCATTGAAAAAGTCGTCAACTTGAGTGAGTAATTAGCACATATGCGAGGCCACAAAAATCTGAGCTGACCAAGCATAGAAATGAATACAATATGGGAACCAGTAATAAAGAATGCCCGAGAAAAGCAATAATAAAAGCGAAAATTACAATATGAGATCTGGTGAAAAAAATGCAATGATAGCAGCAAAATTAGCAATATGAGCACTGGTAAAAAATGATAGCTGAACATATTAGGTTTATAATACCCAGGAATTCATACACAGATGTCCTCAATGATAATTGGCACAGTGGATAAAGACGTTAGTTAGAGTTAGTGACAGGACCCAAAGAGTGTGAGTTCAGTACCTGGTTAAGGCGGTGGAGAACTTGGAGAGGGGAATTAACAGAAGATAACAGATAAATGACATCCATTAGACATGGCACGTTGAACTAGAACAGTCTACCCCAGTGAGCGAAATAAAGAGTTCAGTTCGACATTCCAACCACCTAAAAAAGGTCGGAGCGTACAACGGTCGAAACGGTGTGATAAATATAGCATCAAAAAGTTGAGCATGATAGTCCGAACAATGTAAATAATGTACATAATACCATATCTCAGAAATATAGACAGATATTTTTTAAAAGCATATCACCCAAAGCAAGGCCGAATGCCACTAGTACGCAGGGGGTTACAGAGTGGAAGCGAGAGTAGAGATGTGATGGAGAAAATGATGAAGAGAAGGGCAGGGGATAGTACAAGATATTTAGAGATGTCGATTGACATTACGTTTGAATAGTTGGAGATTATAGCTATCAGGGCAAAAAATAATAGGAAGGGAATTCCACAAACAGGAGGTGCGGGACATGAAGCTATTAGAGTAGAAGAGACGGCCACATTTAACTGTTTCGACAGTGAAAAGGTGGGACCGTGATGCCAGCCTAGTAGCACGCTTAAATTCATGCAGTCTGGGAACTAGCGAAAGTAGCTCGTCGGAGCAGTTACCGTGAAATTATTTGTAAAAAAGACTGAGGCAGACGACGGCACGTCTGTGAGAGAGCGACTGAAGACGAGATGTTAGATCAGGACCAACTATATTGCTTATCCGTCTCTGGAACTTGTCGAGGACCTTAAGGCGAATTAATGTAGCTGGTAATGTGTCAAGAAGATCTTTTGTTTTAAATATATTCCTGGTGATGAAATCTTTTCGTTTATGTAACGTAATAGCTGTAAATCGATGTTGAAATTTTGTTATGCCATTATTATTGTATTGTAACTCATGTGTACAACAATAAGTATCAATTTCCTCTGTTGGTTCTACTGAGAAATCAGAAGTAAATGGACCACGGTAATCAATACCAAAAAAAAAAAAAAAAAAAAAAGAAAAGCAAGCATAAGGGAATAATAATAAATATTCTTGTGTTGTATTTCGGTATTAGTAAGCATAGATTTAGCTTTGATGTCAGGTGTTTAGATTGGACATCGCTCTTTCCCTAGGTGGCCCATTCCACAAATTCATGTCAGGCTACAAGAGAAGAAAGAAGACAGTTTAAAAAAAATGCTTTCAAATATGGCAATCATCATTGTTCCCTTTTGAGCTATTGGTCTATAGCTGGCATATGATGCTTAACCCCCCACCCAAAATGGCAATAAGAAAAAAAAAAAAAACATCAGTATTATTTATATATCTGTAGGGATGTGTAACGGATACAGTCACTGAATTTAGAATCGGTAACTGAGTCAAAATCTCGATGAGCCAGTTGCGTTCGTTTCGTATCATTTTTTTTAATCGTTTCACTCCAAGGAAAGAGATCATGATAGTAGGATACATTGGTTCACCTGGGGAGAAAGAGAAGAAAAAGAAGAACTCAGTGAAAAGAAGAGAGGAAAAGGACAACAAAAAAATAGAATTCAGGACGACAGAAGATGAAGGTTAAAGTCGCATTTAAATTTTTGAAGATTATAAGCGGCAGAGAAGCAAGAAATCGAAACGCAGTTCCACTGGCGAGAAGTGTGAGAAAAGAAACGGGTCAGTTCTATTCTAGAACTGACAGTTGCATCTAGACAATTCAACTGTAAAATGGTAGGCAGTAGGGAAGCAAGAAATAAGAAGTGAGAACCACAAGTGAGAAAAAATGTATCAGAACAAAATTAATGGTTACCTCTAGATAGTCTAACTAAAAAGGTATGCTCAATCTGAGGAAAAAGCAGGATTCCTTCCCTTATCTCCTCTACAGTAAGGAATGCAATAACAAGCTAGAATGATCTTTCTAGCCTTTGCTAAAGGAAAGAAAACTTTCTTTTTAAATCATCGAAATCTATACAAATTATTTCCCAAAATGCATGAAATTCACACATGATAAAGTAAAGGAATTTGTGAAGAGACTTGATTGCTCATGTTCTGAAATGACATGGCATAAAAAAATATTAAGATAATTGGACCAGATCTTTTACTTGCATGCGTTATTCACTTTACTTTTCTTGATTCATATTTCAGTAACATTATAACTTCTTCTATAGGCCGGCCATGTACTTTTCCTGTCCGTTATAGATTATTTTTTTGCTATCAGTTTTAATCAACCATTTACAGAATATGTTTTCCTTTGTCCCTTTTGCATTCAAT